CTCCGTCCCCCACACCACAGGCTGCTCCAGCCTCCAGTCCCCGGCAGCTGCGTCCCCGCCCGCCCAGGGTTCAAACGACTTTCAAACTCGGTGGCTGAATCTCCCTGCGGCTTCCTGAGGGGGCTGGACCCAGCATCCCCTTTCTCCCCTCCTCCCCCCGGGACTGTAGGAGCGAAGGAAGGGCAGCAAGGCCCAGGGGGACCCGCCTGCTGGGTTTGTTTCTCACTTGGGTCTGGCCCCCCCTGATTTTTCAGTGGGCCTGCAGCCCCCGGCCTGAAAAAGGTTCCCCCCCCCCGTGTCGCTTTCCCCCTGGGGTCTGGAACCGTCGTCCGTGGAGCGTTTCCTTTTCCTTTCCCACCAGAACACAGGTCAGCGATGTGCCCTAGAGCGGAGACTCTGACCCCAGAGGCGCCATGGGACACCCCTCCCCTCGGCCGCTCAATAAACGGCTGCTCCTAGTGTTACCTTTGTACCCGCGCTCGGCCTGCGCCTTCCTGCTGCTGCTCCCCACCGCCGGTCGCCATCTCAGCCGGGGCAGAATGCCCTGGGAAGGGGGGCAGGTCTGGACACTCACGCGGGGACCTTGGTAAGTCTCCCCCGTCGTTCTGAAATGCAATTCCCCCTCTGCCTCCTTCTCGCCAGACTGAGCCTGTGGGGGGGGGGGGGGGAGCCGATAAAATTGTTTCTCCCGGCTCCTCGCCCTTCAGTTGTCCGGGTTCTCCACATTCGAACCGAAACCTGCATCCGGAGTCTCATCCGGCCCCCGGGCTGAGCTGTCCCCTGTGTGTTTTCTGTTTGACACATGGAGCCGCAGGGCGGGAAGGGACCTCAGGGGCCTTCCCCCACCCCCTGCCAAGGAGCAGGGTTGCTTGTGTCTAAACCCGGGAAACCCTCCAGGGAAGGAGCTGCCACAGCCTGCCTTGGCCGCGTGTTCCCCGGATCCTGTCTACACGCTGGGCGCCAAATCTGGACACAGCCGGGGTGAAAGTCACTTCGCTTTCTCAGGCTGTGTCTGCACTACAAGGCTTTTGCGCAAAACCCAGCGGGGCGGCCACACCTCAGGCGCGTTTTTGCGCAAGTCAGTCGGCAGAACAGGGCTGTAGCGGGGAGGGTTCGTCCTGTCCCCACGAGGAATAACTCCTTTTGGAGTTACGGCTCTTGCGTGAAAAGGCCACAAGACCCTCCTGCCAGCCCGGGGGGAGTCCCCAGAACTCTGCCTCCCTGCCGCAGAAACCCCCAGGCACCGGCTTCCCAGGGTGAAACTCCGGGGGGACGGGCAGCTACTGCAGGAAGTGAGGGGGATTTCACAGCTGGCAGCCGAGAAGCAGAAAAAACCCAGCGGCG